AAGACATTTGGAAAATTGGTTGAAGTTCTAATAGAAAAATCATGATTGATATACATAGATAAAATGGATTTGTCCGACTGCTCCAACACGTCCTGTTACTTGTCTAGGAGGAGCGGCAACCACTGCTTGTAAGATCATTTGGCTTTGAACATAAAAAATCTATTGTTAAATGATGTTATTGAATATTAATAACATTGTATTTATAATCTTTTTGATAAATTAGGGTTCGACGTCGCAGAAATTTCTGAGAACATGCAAGATCATGATTTGGTTTCTATAAATTCTATAACTTCATTTGTGATTAACCTCTTATCTAACGAACCAGGACATGGTAACTCATAATCCACCTACACCTACTATATGTATACATATTATACGTATAGTATGCAACAAATTTATCTTTCAAATCTATTAATCATTGGTTTTGATAGTCACGAAAGGACTAGGAGGTATCGGTTTGGGTGCAGCGCAAGCTCTCTACTTAGGTTGTGGTTACGCCATTGGATGGACCCCCATAGACCTAAAAGTTGTTGTTGCACTCAATGGTTGGCTTCCTGCCAGAAAGTATAATATTCAAACTCTTATGTCACTTGTCACACACAAATAATCATTACTTATATTACGTACCTTATAAAATACAAAATCTAACTCAATCTTGCAGAAACTTCAATAACAATTTGGGAACTATTATCGGAGCTGTAAATCTTGCGGCATTGCTACCAATCTTACTTACAAATGAAACTAATTGTATGTGCAGTAAGTTATATTGGCATTGATTTAGATAACAATCGCAAGATATGATACTGATCCTTGTCGGATTTTGTGTTTGTTCATTGTAGCTGTGGTTACAGTTCCTCAAGAATTTGGATTACAATGTGCCAACGACCTCCATACGGCTGGATTTCCAATCTACTTAACACCAAACGAAGGGTCTAAAAATAATAATTACTTCACTTTGTTTTGCTTTAGTTACCATTTGCTTTTATTTTTCTGAATTTTATGCAATTTGTAGGGATCATGCATTCGTTCGCAACTGGTTCAAAACATACCTAGAACTCTAGCTAGGAACTCTAAATTCTGCGTAAAGAAAGGAGATGAGGAGAGGAACAAAACTATCGTGCAAT